AAGCGAAAGTTATCCCAAATGAAAGCAAATATCCCCCCTCCCCCCAGCATAATGGCAGGCCCCCAAGCAAAGCACAAGAATATATATATATATCTATATATGACGAGGAACAAGAAACGTGAACACCAGGAAAATTTAAAAACTATAAAAGTTTTAATAAGTTAAAATCCTAGCTTTCGCTGGCCACTGCCAGCATCATCAGGGATCAATCTAGGTCAATGGGAGTGCTTATTTATACATGATCAAGCTGTTTTTGCGCCCAACCCATGGATGCCGTCATGGGGCTCAGTCGGCCAATCAATGCTCCGGTCGCAGTCTCCGTGTCATTAGCCAGTTTATCCTCGCTGCTCTTACCTTCGTACACCTTGTTGCTCACTTTCCTCCCCTCCTCCTGTGTTCCTACGTTAGCCACACATCCTACCTTGCTAGAAGTGAATCTACGCTCTATATCTCCAGATTATTTGACCCTTTTTTTCTTTTCGTATTAGGGTATCCCATCGAGGTGAGTTTCCCATCACCTCCACCTTGTTTCTGCTCATTGGTTTCACTACCACCCCTCCTATCTCTGGGTGCCTTGTGGGGTATCCTGTCTTGGTTTGTGTCATCTGACGTGACACGATAGATATATCTATATCCATGATAGATATATCTATATATATCTATATAAATAAAAATGTAAATGTTTGTTTGTTCAAAATCTTAAATCTCCGAAAGTTCTTCACCGATTGCTTTGAAATTTTGACACAATGTTGCATTCGAATACGTGCGTGTTTTTATATACCTATATTATTTAGATGTCACACCTGTGACAGGTAAAAACATGCTTTTTTTGAAAAACAGCGCCATCTGTTGGACGTAAAAGCAACACACGCCAGACTGAGCCACAGCAATGCGTGGCCGGGTACAGCTAGTATATATATATATATGGAAGGAGACAATAAGGATTTGGGGACCTGACAGAGGGCCCAGGGACCCCACCCCCGGAGGGACGGCCCCCAGTCCAAAGGACTGAGGACCATGTGAGGCAGGTTCAAAAGTTGCAGCTGTGGGAACGCTGCTGCTTTTGTGCAGGTGTGCGTGGGGGAGAGGGAAGCCGTGCGCTGGGCATTTGCCCACCCACAAAGAAAAGGCTTGTCTTGTTGCAGCTGGACTTCTCCAGATGCTTTCTCCGGCCGCTGAGCCAACTTGGCCTCGTGGTCAGCAAAGTGGCGACACTGACTGGCTTGTTCTCTTCCTAGACAAGAACTTGGCTGTGGCCTCCAGGATAAACAGTGATAGTCTAGGATTTTTGCGCTTAAGGAACAATTGCAGGCTATCCTTTAAGTGATTCTTGCAGATGCAAAGAGAGGCTTCCGAAGAGACAGGCAAGGCCTGGCTGGAGAGTGTGTGTGTGTGTGTGGGGGGGACAAGTTAGGATTTATTATTGGAGCAGGAGATGAAGGGAGGGGGGAGAGCAGGAGGCTGGGTCTCTGTAGCTGCTCTCCCACCCCTGGGCAACCCAGAGGGATGGTTGTAGCCATGTGGGGCTTGATCTACTTTTCCTTGACTTCCCAAACTGGCATTCTCTGGCCCTTCTGGGTGGCCAGAGGTGTGTGTGTGTGTAGGGAGGCATCTTCACAATAGCCCCAAAGTGAAAGCAGAAAATCCTTGAAACACACTTGAGCAAGAGGTGGGGAACTGTCTCCCTCTAGTGGTGGATCCAGGAAGCTTCACACTCCTGGCAGGCGGAGATTGGGTGGGGCAGGCTCATTGGGGGCTTTGGGGCAGGACTGGCAGGTTTTGATTTGATTTTTGATTTTTGATTTTCGATTTCTATAGCCACCCATCCCAGCAAATTCTGGGCAGCTCACCATTCAAAAGCACATATTACAATTAAAACCTTAAACACATTTTGAAACAGTAAAAACAGCACGATTGACTTCTGCCCTTGGGGGGCTTTGAAGAAGTGGGAGTTCTCCCTGGTGGGGGGCTGGGCTGCCCTGTGGCAATCTGGAGGGCACCCGGGCTGGCAAGGCTGCTCTAGATGACGCAAAGGCTTGGTGAGCCTGGCTCCCTCGAACCAAGGAAATGCCGCTCTTTCAAAAGGGGAGGGGGCTTCAACCTGAGTGCTCCCCCCTTTCCAGGCCCCCCTTGACTCCCTGGCCTGATTGAGGGGTGCTGACGTTTATTATTATTTATAGTATTGTTATTGTTATTGTTATTATTTTATTTTTAGTTTAAATGAATAGCCAGCAAATCTATCTATCTATCTATCTATCTATCTATCTATCTATCTATCTATCTATCTATCTATCTATCTATCTATCTATCTATCTATCTATCTATCTATCTATCTATCTATCTATCTATCTATCTTATCTATCTTATCTATCTATCTATCTATCTATCTTATCTATCTATCTATCTATCTCTATCTTCTTTCCATCCATCCATCCATCCACCCACCTACCTACCTACCTACCTACCTATCTACCTATCTTGTGGACAATAAAATATGGGAGGTAAAATATTAAATTAAGATAAAACCATAATAAAACCGCCACAATGTGGAGCCATAGAATTGCAGTGGGATAGATATTATAATTTACAAAGGTAAATAAAGATATTTCATAGGCTGGTCTTGAGTAACGCTCGCTCTTTGTGGAAAAGTCTGGTGCAAAAGTCTGGATACCTTTCAGGGATAATTTTAGCAGAGGTTGAGATGGGAGGGGGCGAGAAGTCAGGGAGATTTTTCCCTCCTTCCCCCCCCCCCCC